GCGGGCTGACTGGCGGGCAGGCGGCGGGCTCGCAGCGGCGCGGAGTCTGGGCTTAGGCGCCGGTGGAGGGCCATGGCTGCCTCTCCCGGCCCTGCCGGTGTTGGCAGCGCCGGAACATTCCACGGCTCCGACTCGTCGGGCTTCGCCTTCGACTCGGGACTCGAGATCAAAACTCGCTCGGTGGAGCAGACGCTGCTCCCGTTGGTTTCTCAGGTAAAGTGGCCCCCAGCGCGGCCCTTCGTCTCCCTCCCGCCGCGGCTCGCGATGGCGGCGGCCGCTTGCTCCGCCGGGGCTGGGCTCCGCGTGGGGACGGCGTCGTCGGTGTCGGGCGGCCTGGCTGGGGCTTGAGGACGGGCCTCGGCTCAGGAGGCGGGAGTCGGGGCAGTGTGAAATGCGGCAGCGAGGACAGAGTGGGGCTGAGCAGCAGGGAGGCTGCGGGGCGGCGGTGGCGACTGGGTCGTCCCGGCGGAGCCCGGCTCGGACTTTGGTGCCCGGCCTGGCAGGTGCGCTTCCCGGGCTGCTCCTCCAGGACCCGCTTCGGGGCTGCGGCTCCAGGCAGCCAGCGGCTCAGCGAGGCCCCCTCTGCTGGGGCAAGCAGCCGTGCCCAGCACCCGGGAGGCTGAGATGACTTGAAGGCCCTCAGCTGCCCCGGGGCCCTCCTAGTTGCCGCTAATCAACCAACTGCGGTCACACTTTTGAATCCCCAACCCAAACCCAGGACTGTCGGCCACTTTGGGCACTTCTACCAACCTCCAGGTCCAGCGTGCTCTCCCCAAGGCCTTTGTCCCTCTCCCTTGCCTGTGTGTCGGCTCCGCCTATCTCTCATTCACCCTGGGCCACCCTCCACCTTCTCCTTAACCTGCCAGCTCCCCTCAGTCTGCCTTTGTCTGGCATCTTGGAAGAGAGGACTGACTGTCCTAATAGTTAACCAGGATACGCAGCCTTTTGCCAAATCCCACTTTGGGATGTTGTTGGTCATAACAGAAGTCAGGAATCAGCTAACTGATGCTTAGTTTTAGAAAGGTTTTTGTTACTCTGAGTTGATTTATACACAGCCTGAGGGCTAGAATTCCTCATTCAGATCTGTTGTAATGTGCCAACCACTGTGAGGAGTGAAGAGTGGTGTGCCTGCAGGAGCGGGTTGGCGATGTGTGACTCACAACTATTGTAAAATCTTTATGATTCATACGAGTATTATCAAGATTTAAGAGGTAGAATGAATCTTTGAGTTACTAGACTCTTTAAAAAAAAAAATTTCTTACAACATCCTTGATACCTGGTCAACAGTTCTGTCCTTAAACATTGATGGAAAGCCCGTAGCTTTGAGAGATGGCCTGTTCAGTAAAATTTTAAATTTTCTTCTCCATCACAGCCCTGCCAGTATTTGAAAATAGCTGCCACACATGTCTCTAGGCTCCTGTTATGTTGATTATATAAATAGCCCCAATTTCTTCATCTGTGCTTATTTTAGCATGGCTGACAGTAAATAAATATACCACACACACACACACACACACACACACACACACACACGTTTGTGATTGAGGTACCGGCCAGTGGGAAAGAGTGCTGGGATCAGTTAGTAATGTCTGTGGTAATTGGTCCCTTCACCCCAAGAACAACAACATAACTACAACTAAAAGTGAGAAATACTGGAGCAGTTTTAAGAGACAGAGAGGTGAGAAGAGAGCAGCTGAGTTCAAGTTGATAATGTTTTGTAAGCATTTAGTTAACAATATATATATAGTGCTCCGGAGTCCCAGAGGCACCTTGGAAGAAAGGCCTGGTGATCTAATGGAGCACAGTTCTACACTGAACCAGCTGGGTTTGCCATGAGTCGAAATTGACTGGACAGCAACTGGTGGTGGTGGTGATACAGTGCTCTATTAACTCATTTAACAATCCTACGAGGTGGATATATGTTTATTCTCATTTTACAGATGAGGAAGCTGAGGAATAGGAAGGTTAGATAATTTGCCATCAGTCTTTCAACTAACCTGAAAACCAAACCTGTTGTTATTGAGTCGATTCTGACTCATAGTGACCCTATAGGACAGAGTAGAACTGCCTCGTAGGGTTTCCAAGGAGTGGCTGGTAGATCAAATTGCCATCCTTTTGGTTAGCAGCCGAGCTCTTAACCGCTGCACCACCAGGACTCGGTCTTTCAACTAGTAAATGTCAAACCAGGATTTGAACTTAAGCAGCCTGGCTCTGTAGTCAAACCCAGGGACTGTCCACTCTAGAGATTAGAAGCAGTGATGAGGTCACCTAGTAGCAGGTACTGAAAAGAGAGTCTACAATGGAAAACAAGCTGGAAGGTTGTTGCATTCTGGAGAAATGGTAACCTTTCACAGTATCACTGCTAAAAATGTATCAGTTCAACAGCTCTGCATTGTGTAATTCTAGGGTAAAAGAGGGTGGGGAGAGTAGGAGAGTGAAGGAGGAAGAATGTGAATTGCTGATGAGAGTTAACTAGAGGTCAATGCCAAAGGGGGGAAATGCCAGCTTTTTTTTTCCTTTTCATTTTTTTTTTTTCTGTTAAAGTCACTTTCAGGGCCCAGCTAAGGTTCTGCATCATACACGTTTTGTACTATAACTGATATTCCTAATGATTTACTGTTGTATGCTGTCGAGTTGATTCTAACTCATAGCTACCTGATATGGTAGAGTAGAACTGCCCCATAGGGTTTCCCAGGCTGTAATCTTTATGGGAGCAGATTGTCAGGTCTTTTCTCCCACGGAGTTGCTGGTGGGTTCAAACCGCAGACCTTTTGGTTAGCAGCCGAGCACTTAACCATTGCTCCACCAGGGCTCCTAATGATTTACTGTACTCAACAAGGAAAAGTTAAAATTATGCTTAAAATTAAAAAATGGATAAAGCATGGTCAGAATACCCTGTTAACAAAATAGGAAAGTGTGGAGTACAATTTAAAATGATTTTAAAGTTTCAGTGAGTGCTTAAAAAAAAACAAAAAACCCATTGCCATCAAGTTGATTCCGACTCATAGCAACCCTGTAGGTCAGAGTAGAACTGCACCATAGAGTTTCCAAGGAGCGACTGGTGGATTTGAACTGGATTGGAACCGTTTGGTTAACAGCCAAGTTCTTAACCACTGTGCCACCAGGGCTCCACAGTGAGTGCTTAGGGGATTCGACTAGAATGCAAGCCCCTCAAAGAGCGTTACTGGTAAGGACAACAATAAATGCTTGCTATTGATATTTAAAATATCCTTGTGGACATTTTAAGGAATCCGTGTTTCCTGGTAAAACATTAGTGGGATAATACTGCAGCGTGCTTAGAAAATGAGACTTTTGGACATAAGAGTTTTTCTAGAGAGCTAAAATTTGAATCCCCTAAGTGAGTGGTTTCCTTAAAATGTCCACAAGGATATTAAAGCATCAATAGCCAAGTATTTATTGTTTCCTTACCAGTAACTACTCTTTGAGGACCTTGCATTCTAGTTGAGACAGGACACATACAGACTAGCACATCCCAGGTATCAAATGGAAACTATCAATAGTAAGTCTTGTAAGAAAAGAGCTCAGAGAAGGCATGGATGAGTCAGGATGATACCGTGTAGAAGATAGGGTCTTGAGGCAAACAAACAAGTAGGAGTAGCATTGTACATTGTAACAAATTTTAAGCAGACAGTTTCTATTCTGATATCATCTACTCCCTCTGACTCTCCAAGTGAAAAGTCTGGGGCTACTAGCCTTATTCTAGGAATACAAGGTTGGGTCAACATTAGAAAAAATGTATACAACTTACTACTTTCATAGAAAAGAAGAGATACATGTTCATTTGGGCAGATGCAGAGAAAGCATTCGATTAAATTCAGTTTCTAATATGCTAAAAAGTACTTGGCAAACTAGCAATAGATGGAAATTTCCCTAACCTGATAAAGAGCATCTACAGAAAACCTACAGTTTACACCATAAAAGTAGTCAAATTTGAAACAAGCATTAAAAAAAAAAAAAAAAAAAAACAGAAACAAGAGGAAGATGCTGCTATCACAGCTTTTATTCAACACTACTGGAAATCCTAGCCAGTAGAACAAGACATGGAGAAGAAATGAAAGGTATAAAGATAGGAAAGGGAAAAATCAAAACTCTCATTGTGATATAATTATCTTCATAGAAAATTCAAAAGAGTCTACAAATAATTATAAAAATTAGGAGTGTTTAGCAAGTTTGCTGAATGTAGGATGCTAAAGTCAACTGCATTTCTCTGTATTAATAACAAACAGAAAAGATAATTCTAAAAAGATGCCAGCTACAACAACAATTACAACAAAAAATGAAGTTCCTAAGAAAATATATAGCAAAAGAGATGCCAAATTTCCTGAAGAAAATTTAAAAATGTTATTGAGAACCAAAGTAGACCTAAATAAATGGAGAAGAAATACTGTGTTCACAGTGGAATCGGCTTGATACTATAGAGATATAAATTTTCCCAATTGTTTTAAAAGTTTAATGTAATTCCACTGAAAATTTCAACAGGATTTTTTTGGTAGAATTTGATTAAAGTAATTCTAAAATAAATAAGAGCCAAGAATAGCCAGAAGGAAAACAAGGTAGGTGGACTTGGTCTAATAGATATCGGGACTTACTATAAAGCTATAGGAATTAAGACAATGTGAGTATAAGAACAGAGGTGGACCAGTACATCAGTGAAACACACCAGAAAGCCCAGAAACAGATCCACTTACATACGGAAACTTGATATATGACAGAATTGGCACTGCTGGTCAGTGGGGAAAGGGAGAACTTTTTAGAAAATGTGGCAAGGACAATTGGTTATCTTGATAGAAATACATCAGATTGGATCTCTGTCTCACACCATACACAAAAAATCAATTCCAGGTAGAATAACAACATCCATATCAAAGCAAAAACTTATAATACCTTCAGGAAGCAGGGGGGAAAAACGGACAATATCTTCATAACCTCATGATGGGAAAGGATTAAGTACACCAAAGTACAAATTCTAAGGGAAGATTGATAAATTTGACTCCATTAAAAGAATCTCTGTTCATCAAAAGACTACAAGAGCTAAAAGATAAGCCATAGAGTGGGAGAATGCAATTGTAACATGAATAATTCACAAATGATTCATAGTACTTAAAATATGTAAAGGACTCCTATGGATCAAAAATGAAAACATTAGCAATTGAAAATTGGTAAAAGAGATAGTCATCTCACAGAAGAGGAAA